TACTTTGTGAGTCTGTCCGTGACCACGAATATGCTGTCGTATTCTACATTGGTCATCGGTTCTTTCGACATTGGTAGCTTCGTAATATGATCGAAAGCTATCGATTCCCATGGTCGTGTTGGTACTGGTAATGGTTGCAATTCTCCATATGGCTTATGTCGCGAAGCCTTACTTTTTCCGCATTGTATGCATTCGTTGACAACCTTCTCGACCATTTTCTTGATTCCTGAGAAATCGTATTGTCGTCGTATCTTATCCAGTGTTTTGCGGATTCCTTGATGTCCGTAAACTGGGTGTTCATGCATTTCTTTGATGCATTCTTCTTGTAGTTCTGGAGGTATCCAGGTCTTTCCATGGTACTTTGGGATAGTTCCGGGTTCTGTGAGACATTCTTCTGGCGTGTCTGCAAACCTAACCTTTTTCTTTGCCCATTGTTGGATTTTCTTGTATACTGGGTCTTCGTCTTGTACTTTTAGTATGGCATTGAGTTGTCTCTGCTGAAAGTTGCCATCTTTGTTTAACTCGAGGAGTTGTCCTGTCGCTGTAGGTACTCCTGTATCGTAGTCGCTTCTTCGACTTAGAGCGTCTGCTCGTCCGTTTTCGGATCCTTTTCGATGGATGATTTCATAGTCGAATTCTGAAAGATATTCGGCCCATCGAATTTGTCGTCCATTCAATTGTTGCGTTGTCGCAAAGTGAGAGATGTTCTTGTGATCGGTGTACACCTTAACTTTGTGTTTACTTCCCATGAGGTAGTGTCTAAATTCCTTGAAAGCATTGATGATTGCTAGGAATTCTTTGTCGTAGATGGGGTAGTTGAGTTCTGCTCCGTGAAGTTTCTTTGAGTAGAACGCAATAGGGTGTAGTTTTCCGTCATCGTCTCGTTGTCCAACTTGTGCTCCCAGAGCAAAGTCTGATGCATCGGTTTCTAATTCCGTTTCCTTTTCTGGGTCGAAGGTTCTTAAAACAGGTTCGGATGTGATGAGTTCTTTGATCTTGTCAAAGGCACATTGCGCCTCATCATTCCAGTTCCACTGCTTATCCTTCTTGGTGAGTTCATCCAAGGGTGCTGCGATTTCGCCGTAGCTCTTGATGAATCTCCTGTAGTAATTCGCAAAGCCTCTAAAGCTTTGTATGTCCTTGACATTCTTCGGTGTTGGCCAGTTTCTTACTGCCTCTATCTTGGATTTTTCCATTCGTATTTCGTTTGGTCGTATCGTGTGTCCTAGGAAGTCTACTTCCTGGGTATGGAACTTGCATTTTGCTGGTTCGACTAGTAGCTTGGCGTCTTGTAGCGTTTTCAGTATCGTGTGTACGTGTTCCTTGTGGTCTTCTAGGGTTTTCGAGAAGATCAGTATATCATCGAGATATACTACCACGAAGTTGTCCAAATATTCTCGCAGTACGCTGTTAATCATTCTCTGGAATGTTGCTGGTGCGTTGGTGAGCCCCATTGGCATTACCAAGTATTCGAATAGTCCGAGCTTCGTCCTGAAGGCTGTCATCCACTCGTGACCCTCTTTTATTCGAATCAAATTGTATGCTCCCTTTAGGTCTACCGCGGTGAACCAATTCATACCGTGCAATCGGTCCCGTAGTTCCGATATTAGTGGCAACGGTGTTCTGTCTTTCATGGTTATATCGTT